CATATATAGATAGATAACAAAAAATAAATGGTATAAAGTGGAGCAAGCTTGCTAACCTTGCCCTACAATCAAAACATAGCCACCATAATGGGTTATGTGTTTGAATTCTTTTGTAGAAAGAAAGTGTTTGTTAGGCTCAATCAGATTGTAGGACAAAAACTATGATGCATAGAATTCCCCCTATATCACGATGCCGCAAACCTAGGTGATGACAGTGTGGTCGATGGTGTTTGCTAATGGAGTGTTAGGGTGTGGAAGAGCAACTTCAACGTTTTGCGCAACTCTGCGCTTCTTCAGGAACAAAAGGGAGATATCTGTATAATATAGAAAGACATTGTATGTAATCTCTACCATGATTTCCCCCTCCCCCCTTTTTTCTTCCTCTCCTTCCATCGGTCTTCCCCAGTGGTTGCCAGGGACGGTGGGACTCTGTCCCTGAGAGCATCACCCCGGGCGCTAAGCCACCCCCACCTAGGATGGCCGGCATCATTATCCTGGGAGTCCACCTGCTATCTTTTCAATCACAGCTGTTATCTAGCCTTATGTTTTAAACTTTATTTCTATTCTTTATGTTTTATTCTTATTCTTCAACTACACTTGGCCCCCTATACGATCTGTGTGGGGATTTAGATCTCCTTTTTTCTGTCTTTAATAGAAACGAGACGTACGCTATGGCTATCTCAATTTCTAAAAAAGTGTAAATGTCTAAAGGATTGGCTGAGGCTCCACGGACGGCGCGGTGACGTCATAATGACGTTGCCGCGCCGGATGCTATTATAGTGCCCACGTGAGCCACCGCCAGTATGCGGCCTCGAGGCGGCGGTCCCGGTTGTTGGTGGCGTGGAGGCGTCTGGCAAACTCCCTTTCTGTGGGAGCTAAGACGGGACGGCGTTCTACCCTTTCTGGTGACGAACTCAGTGAGCGAGATACATCTATCCGAGGTATGCTGATTGATGATGGCCAGCAAGTGGATAAATCGCTAAGTAGCCAATGACTAAAGTCGCACATGTGGCTCTAGACTAGGAGTAATCAGTCTGTGGGTCCAGGGTGCTGTGTTGGGTCCAAGCAGGGGCGTATTTGCCGCGAGGCAAACAAGGCGTTTGCTTCGGGCGGATGCTGCTAATGGCAAAATAAACACATTTAAATAATTAGTGAGTTGAACTTATTATTAGCACTACAACTATGAGTGTAAAAATTTGAAGTTTAACTAACACTACGGTGCGCTATTGTTCATCGGCACCCGGTTGTCTGATGGTTGCAAAAATGGCACTCGGCGTGTAAAAGGTTGCTGACCCCTGGTGTAGACAATCACTCCATAGGGGTTGGCATCTTGTCTTGAAGCATTGGTGTGTTGTTTTTCGTCCCCTAGCAGTACACGATCCTAACTGTTCTGTCCCTGCTACATGTTGCCCTGTGGCCTTTGTATAGCTTAACATACAGCTAAACCTTCCTATTCTGAAATAAACCAGACTTGAGTGAAATCTTGATGCTTTATTAACAAAACAGGGTAGGTGAAATTGGTGAGAGAGAAAATGGAAGAAAACAAATGTAAATATAGTGTTGTCTAACAAATATACAGAGAAACAAGTACAGCCATACCAGTGATGCTGCCTAAAGGAGATTTAGGCTCTTTCCTCCATATACATGCTGTGGATGTCAGCGGATTCTTTTCTCCTTTGTTCTAAAATGGAGGCTGAGCTCCCAAAATGCCCTTGTTTCCTTCGTTCGTGGACAGAGGATATTGGGAGTTTACCAAGAAAAAAAACAGTCTAAACCAGTGGTGGCAAACCAATGGCGCGCTCATGTCCGGATTAACATAGGGGTGTCTGGAGCTACTACTGAAAATAATCCCGACTGTCCTGGATCGCCTCAGTAGGCGATCCGGGTGGGCCACAATCAGACAGTGGTGGCCCTCTAATTGGGAATATTAGACGGCCGGCCGCTGGGGCAGCAGTAAGGCCCTTCAGGCAGCGCTTTGAGCTGCAGGCAGTCCCCAGTTTTGTTGTTCTTTCTTGAAGCGGTTAGTGTTTGTTGTATTTCCCACCACTCAGTTGGACCGCTTTTGGACATTTTGAAGGTAAAAGACTTCCTGTGTCCCTTTTAAAGATGAGAAAGAAAATAAGATTTTCTCATAATTTTTTTCCCAGTGTCCAATCCTCCTGGGGGCGGCAGTATAACCTGAAGGTTACATTTGTGTCCTTCAATGGATCCTAGAAAAGATTTTACGGTCAGTGTAAAAATCGTATTTTATTTTTCTTGTAAGGTTGCATTAATGGACATCATTTACATTTCAAAGGTCACCCTTTTGATCTACATTTAAAAGAAACAAAGAAGTTGAATTGTAACAATAATGTTTCTGAATTTTATTTCTAAATTGAGCTTCTGGATATCATTCCAAACACTGTTCAGAAGCACCGTTTTGCACTGGTGCGTTAAGGAGCAAGTCCAGCTGTTTTTTTGGCAGCTGGGAGTTGCCAGCCAGAGTGGTCGGGGAAGTGGCAGCATGGGTAGGTTGGGTTGGGCATATTACAAATCCATGGCATTTTCGTCTGTTATGCCTTTGCTCCTGTTCATCTTCTTCACCTTTTTCTCAATGCCCCGTTCTGGCCCAAAGGAGCCTGGTTCTCTCTCTATCTCTCTGTCCATTCATCCTCCTTGGACTTTCCCAAACACACCAGATTTAATTTCTTAAGGACCAGTCCTTCATCCCAACAACCAGATGTTCAGACTGACTGCATTCTTCAGAAGAAGAGATCCTGGGGGCTAAGGGACTTTCTTCTAGAGTTGTTAATACTCTTCTTTGCAGTCGTAAGCCTGTCACTAGATGTTTTTACCCAAAGGTGTGGAAGACATTCAATTTGTGGCTTAAAGGAGAACTATGGGGTAAGTGTTTTTCCCCATAGTTCTCCTAAGGGTCACGGGAGGACACAAACTAGCATCCTCCCGTGACCCAAAACTCAGTATACCGCAAGCTACAGCTCGCGGTATACTGAGACCGCCGCAGTCGGGACAGATCCTGACAATGCTGTTGAGATCCACCCAGCTGCGTGATTGACAGCTGGCTCTGCCTATCTAGATGCTTGTTGATTGAATTGTTATACGTTTACTTTATTTCATAGCGCAACACTAGTCTGTTTAAACAGCCCCGATGCTGGCGACGTACACTGTACGTCGTCAGTCACGAAGGGGTTAAAGCAGCTCCCTATGCTCAATTCTACTCCAGACCACTGCAGCTAAGAATTCTGGCTGTGTGGGATAAACAGGCATATTCCCTGCACCTCCCCTTTAATTTTCCCAGCAAGACAAAGCTTGCCCCAACATGGTGAATCTACAACCCAGTATTGGAATCAGGGAAATCTTTCCTCCCAATGGACTGTACATGAGGGATGGCAGCCTGTCAGGCTGGGGAGGAGTCTTGGGGGAACCTCTCAGCTCAAGGGACTTGGTTGATTGAGCAGCTCATCCTCTAATCAACATCCTGATGCTCAGGGCCATTCGGTTTTCCCTTCGATGCTGAACCCCCAGTTACAGGGCCACCCAATCAGTGTTCAGTCAAAGCCATAGCCATGGCTTTCATCAACCACCAGTGAGGCACCAGAGGTTGCACAGCTGATGGGAAAGCAGACATTATCCTGGCTTGGGCAGGAATTCACGTCCAGGCCCTGTCTGTCATGCTCATTCCAGGCATGGAAAATTGGCAGGCAGACTTCCTCAGCCGTCAATGTCTGGATCTCATTTAACCTTCACCCTTTGATGTCTATTGACCTTTGTCACAAGTGGGGGATGCGGGGCGTGACCCTCCTAGCATTCAGATTCAACAACATACAGAACAAGTTGGTCGCGAGGACCAGGGATCTCAGGCCTTCACTGTGGATGCCTTGGTGACTCCGTGGGATCAGTTCAGCTGAGGCAGGATGGGAATTGGGAGGGTTTATACAGGGCTGTCTTGCAGCTTTGACAGATTTGCCAGTGTTGAATCACCTGAAAATAGCTGCATAACCCATCAGTTCAATAATTTACACCTTGTGTCCCGGGAAGTACTCTAAGAAACAGATTATACAGTCAAGACACAAATAATTGCATTATTTATTAATATAGATCCTTAATATAAGGATTTAATGTGAACCACATTGTTTGCTAATATCTATTGGTCTAGTGCACTTTTACCTCAACACACACTGTGTTGGCGTACACCTTGGCTACATGCACTGGTACTAAATGTGTGTGAAACTTGGCTGTGTGCTCTGTGGTTAAATGTGGGGTGTTGAGCCTGGCTGGTTGTGCATTGGCTTTAAGTGTGTTTGTATGTGTGTGTGTGTGTGTGTATACTTTATCTGCTGTGTGCTGTAACTTCTCTGGTATAGTGTCACTCCAGAATCTTATGTACACCAGTGAGGGCACAGGGAGAAAAAAAGCAGACACACAGGAGAATGCAATACTGTAAGAGCGTGTGTGAGGGAAGTGTAATACTAGGACTGAGAGGTGGAGTATGAGCCAGGAGAGTGTAAATTAGTACTTCTGACAGGAAGCAGCAGTTGGTCTGTTACAGAAGAGAGAGCAAGTAGGGATGAGAGCAACATCAAGTAGAGAGCAGACAGGAATATGGAGAATGTTCATTAAGAGTATAAAGCTGAATAGGTGCAAAACTTCAGTTTTTTTTTTAAATGAGAGGGGCTCTTCTCTTTATATTATTTAGGATAGGATGTCCTGTCTAAAAAGTATTAAGGCAGCCACTGCACCTACCTCTGCTAGAGAATGCATTGTCACAGGAACTAGAGGTAAGGGGAAATCTTGTATTGGATAAACCTTTTCTAGTGACAACTGTGTAAAAAAATATTTCCTCATGCCTTTGAAAGATCCTCTTACTTCTGCTTTGTAAAACTCGTGGACAGGAAGTGGAAGGAAATCTCCAACTCAAAAAAGTAACAGAAGTCGTAATTATTTCCTACTCTATCTAAACCTAAAAATTGACTGTGACTTGATATCTAATTTATTTCCAGGTCCTTTCTGACTTGAAGGCGGATAATCAAAGACTCAAGGATGAAAATGCAGCTTTAATACGAGTCATCAGCAAGCTTTCGAAGTAAGGAGGCAGAATGAGAACGGATGATAACAGCCATATCCATTATGAATATCTTTGCTCTGCCTTGGCCAACATGGACTTGAAGGCCTGCTGGGCCAGAACACGGTCTTCCTGGTTGTAAAAGCTACTGCATAAGACTGTTGGAAATAGAAGTGATCTACAGTTTGGGATTGTGGTGCACACACTGGATCCATACTGTCAGACCCAGCATCCCAAAACTGTGAACACAGAGGAAATCTGACCTGCTAGTTTATGCCAGTTTTATTTACATTTTTTTTTTAAATGTATATCTTTAATTGTATAACAGTACTTATATCTATGTGTCTGCAAATAATCAATCAACTTAAGGTAATGCTTAAAAGCATATTCCCATCCTTGGTATAACTAAGCAAATGAGTCTTTCTTTTCCTCATGGCTGAAACGTGATGTGGTTGGTTAGCAGAACCTTCCAGACATTTCCTGCCTCACTTCAGCTACAAATCTGACACACCCTTTCTTGTTGCTCCAGCAAAAATTGTAGTTTTTTTTACTAAACCACTAGTACATTCTCTATTCAGTAAGTGAGGTTCACCATCGACTGCAAATTCACATTTCTATCCAATGTTCTATATTTAAACCCAGTGCAATACAGTTACCTTATGTCTGTCCACTGATTAGGCATGCCAATGAATGAACAAATATACAGCATTTAACATGTTGATATATCTATGAATGTTGTGTGCCGTGCAGGTTTTCCAGCTTGTTTAATCATTACACCATTAATGCTTTTATGCTGAATTGTTCCATGCTGGGTTCTGCCAAAGTGTACACTGAAAAGTTCCAAGAAAGCCATGATAGACTTGTGTGAAAACTTGAGAAATGTAAAATTTGTGTCCTACAATTAGGTTGCCAGCCGTTATTTTTGTAATAGATGTTTATAAAACAAGCAGATATCTGGCTGTTAGAAGCACTTTTTTGCATGTTCTTTTTTAATGATCATCATGGCAAATGAGGATTTTAATCTTCAAGAAATGGAATTGTGTAAATTCCATTAAGTTTTTTATTTGGTTGTGAAGTCAACTATATGCGATCACGGTCAGCTATCTAATGCAGAGCTCTCCTTTTCTTATGTAAGTCCTGTTCTTAATTTAAAAAAAAAATATTGTTTCTCTGTACTCAGGTGAGAGTAGTTGCAGTGGCTATGGCAAAGTTGCTTGTTGAAGCTAACACAGGGGATTCCACTGTATAATTGTGAGAAATTCTACTTAAAATAGACGCATCCAGGATAATTGTTTCCACATGGATTTTGTATAGGTATTTCAGGTGAATCCGGGGATCTCCACTCTTTTTGAGCATGTTAGACATCTCCCCATAGCAGTATATTTTGACACCCGTTTATGTCTGCTCAGACAGCTGAGAATGTTCCCCACAAGGCAGATTGTGAATGATAGCAGTCTTCTGAAGAAAGTATTCATGTTCTTTACAGTATATGCAGGAGATAAACATAATATTTATCCATGTGTTTGTGACAAAATGTTTAGATGCAAAGACCAAAATCTCATGCTAACTAACCAGAAAGTTTTATTTTGTTAAGCGTTTTTGCAACATATTGTTTGCGACCCACTTCACATATTATTTTTCAACATTTCTCAATGGCACTGTATTTGCGTCCAGCATTTGCGACTTTAAAAAACTGTTGCACGTCCTGGAAGTACTCCTGAGCACTTCTTAAAGTATCGCCAGGATAATTCACCTGCACATCCTCAAGTCAGCTAAGCACTTCAGGACTATTTAGCTGTTATCCAGGAGATTCCCAGCAAGCTTGTGACAATTTAGAGGCAATTCTCCTTACGAAGGAATTTTGGAATGAAACATAAACTAGGATAATACATTTGTCGCACTAGAAAACAGCGATATGACCATTTTTTTAAAAGACGCGGATGATGCAACCAAATTGATAAATTCCCCCAATGTCTTATGACAACCATTCTCTATGCAACTGAAGAGAAGAACATTACACTGTAAACTCATTTTTGTGAGTGTGTATGTAGATCTACATTTTAATTATTCATAATGTTTAACTTTTTTTTTATAACATTCTGTAACTTTTATAAACTAACTACCAGCAGCTACTTTGTTTTAACTTGTATGTACATTTTATTGGTGAATATATTCAGTGTTACCTTTTCAGTGAAGCTTTGATGGTAGTTTAGGTCACAGTTAAAAAGAAATTGTAGTTTTGCATTAGGTATTGAAAATTATTATAGAATTGCATGATTAAAAGACTAAGATTTAGGTTGAGTGGGGAAAAACAACTTTAAAAATCCTATTTGAATCTGTAACACTCACCATTCAATGTAAGAATTTTATTTGATTCCTGTGAAATTCTAACCGTAGGTGGCAACACCAGGCTCAAAAAACAATCAAATGAATTGGGTGACAATTTGCCAGCCAAACAGTGTAGGGCGTGGCTAACTAATCGATTTTGAAAATAATCGTTAGCTGCAGCTCTAAAACAGTGACTGCAGGCACTGGCATTCAGAATACAGTAGCCAGCAGGGAAGCATCCTCCATCCATGCTGTTTAGTATGGATGGGGGGAATCAAACTGTTTTCTCATATATAACCCATAGGCTGAATGAGAAAAAAACAATTTGTGCATGTCCAGCTTAAAAGGAATCCCAGTGTCATTGTGTGTGTTGGTCCTTGTGTGGGTTGGCTTACCACAGTCCTGATTGCAAGGCTATGCTTAAGATGCACACAGCAGAGGGTACTTTTGGGAAGCAGAAGGGAGCTTATGTGTAATTCTCAAGAGACTGTGTGTGTTGACAGACTCCTATGATGACAAGGCTGTTCAGCAATTTGCAAGCGTGCAAATACGTTTTTAAGGTATTATAATTCTCACGATTACTATGAGAATATAAACCACTTAAGCAAAACATTTTATGGGACAGCTACAAAAATATTAATCTCTAGATCTAGAAAGTAACATATTGAAAGGAAAAAACAATCACTTTCATTAGGTTACCTTGAAGAAATGTCAGTTTTACTTTAAAACATGTTGGCTATTTTACTTATGTAGCTGCACCTAAGGCTTATGCAATCTTCAGCTCCAGCTCGCAGGTGCCTACTCCTCTGGGGTCCTCCCAAACACCAATCAGCAAAGTTCTGAAGCAGTACAGAACTTCCAAAGGGTAAAATCAACTTTATTGTCCAACACAAACACAGACACTCCACCCATCTCTCTTGCATGTTTTGCCCCCAGCTGGGGTATAATCATAGATTTTATTTGCTGTGATTAAGCCCCAGTAGGGGCTCTGGTACTCCACCCAAAAGCCTTCCTCTGACATGTTTCGCCGCCCTACTAGGTCTTAATCACAGCAAATAAAATGAATGATTATGCCTCTGCTTGTGCTTCGGCTGAACGAAGTTGATTTTCCTCTTTGGGTGTTGTGTGTGGCTGCTTTGCTGAATGTTGGCTATTTAGCTGGGTAAGTAAAGGGGTTGTTTTTTTCCTTCATAGGGCTTCCAAATTTCCTCCCACTTAGGGTCCTGTCTTTGCAGCACTGAGGACTACAGATAATAATTTAAAGAGTTGCTGCAAAGTATTTAATACCCTCCTCACCAGGTGATGTGATTGCAGCTGACGCAAGCTTTCTGTGATTGTTTTTGCAAACTGTCCCAAGGGCTCTCCTTGTTTCTTGATTGTACATCACGGAACAAAGGGAGTTAAATTCTTGAACATATGGGTCATGCAGCTACCTTCGGTTGATTGTAAAATGGCAAATCAGTGCTGTTAAAACAGCTCTGTATAACCACTCCCAGCCTGCCTATTTTTTTTTTTTGTTTTGTTAGTGTCCTTAAGTGATGAACACATTCTGTCTGCTCTGAGACAAGTACATCCTTTTTTTCCTGCACTTTTCTGCTGAAGACTTTCCTAGCAAGTTTGCCTAAATGCTGCTTACAACCACTGCAGCACCTAATAGCAGATATCCAAATTTGTTATTTCCTTGGCAAAGGAAAATGCAGTCTCCTGATGACCTTTTTCGGGGGCATGCCTACTGGGAGGGTGAAGACCGGATGGGGCATGCCCCCTTTAAATGACCATGCTGCTGGGTCAGCCGCTGTTCTGAGGGTAGTAAATTAGGGCTTTCCTTAATAAAATATTGCAATATTTTAATTCCTGATTATTTAAATAAATAATATAAGAAACCATCACCATATACAAATTACAAATAATGAAATAAAACCACCTAAAATTACCCAATAACTAGCCCCAGCACAGGTACCCAATTTATTACATGAATAGAATAATGGGCCATTGATTTCATGCACAGTATACATGGAGTTGAGATGGTCTAGGAATGAAAACAAATGCATGGTATACAATTAGGGCTGTTACTGATTAAAATTTTGTGTTAGATTAATCAAAATTTTTTTTAATCGTTTAATTTCGATTAATTATAACGCACATACAGATCCAACTACATTAGCCTATACACATACAGCACAGCAATGAAGTAATAAAATGAACTAGGATCACACTAATCCAGCACGTTATTAATCTCACGTGCTGCACTCAATATGGCCGCCGCTTGAGTGGGGCAACTCAGAATAATAACGTGCTGGATTAGTGTGATCCTAGTTCATTTTATTACTTCATTGCTGTGCTGTATGTGTATAGGCCAATGCCTTGGCTGGCTATCGTGCAGAAAGTTTCTTGGGCAAACTCACCGGCCCAAGTGGCTCCGTCGGCTAACGAAGGGAAGGGGGAGGAGTCCGGTGATGTCACCGGACTCCTTCCCTTCGTTAGCCGTCACAGACATCGATGTCACCTGACTCCTCCCCCCTTCCCTTCATTAGCCGACGGAGCCACTTGGGGAAGGGGGGAGGAGTGCGGTGATGTCTATGTCCGTGACTTCAACGGATCTTCGACGCGATTCCCGGAATCCAGCGGAGAGGTGAGTGTTTTCATTAGCGATCAAAGGAATTTTAATCGATCAAAAAGTTTAACGATTAATCGAGAAATTAATCGTTAATTTCCGCAGCCCTATATAACAATGTATCAATTCATGGATCAATGATGGATTTTTTTGTGGAGACATATGAAGTTTTCCAGATACATAAACATACCACAATAGATTAGGGCAACAAGAAAATAGTCAACACCAGGACATATGTGCTTTATATATATAATGAATTGGGTACCTGCGCTATTGCTAGTTATTGGATAATATTAGGTGGTTTTAATTA